ATCTCCCCCGATGCGTCCGGGAGTACCGGACCGCACCGGAAATGACCCCACCCCTTGCGGGGATCTTAATGTTATCTTGTGCATTGCTTTCGAACATTTTTTATTTATTTAACAACTAAAAATTGTAAAGATTGTAATAAAACGATAGTGTATTTAAAAAGAGAAATAATTTTGCTTTTGTGATTAAGTAATATATTGTGTTTAACACGATCAATATTTTCATTCCAAGCAACTATTTGCACACGTTTCCTAATTTAAATAGAATCTTAAAAATGAATATTTTTTAATGTATCTTATTGATTCTATGTTATCAATGTAACCAATGATTTCACTATAAAGAAATACAATATTATAATTAAATATAATCAAAAGGAACACGGTTCAATACGTAATAAATATAAGCTATAAAATTTATCTATATTTATTATATACTAATAAATATAAAACATTATTAAATATCATTAAATTTGAAAATAATTTTAATAATAGGAATATTTAAAAGATCAATATTATATGAAATAGAAAATAATTGACTTAAAAATAAATTATTAGTAAAATAATTATTTAATATAAAAAAAGCAAATAAGAAATCTATGTGTGTAAAAAGTGACGATAATATATGTGTATAATTGATTTTAAATATTAATTATTATGTTGACGCACTTGTTGTGCTAGATCTTGTGACTTTTGCGTATGTGCACGCGCTTTTTCTTTTAAGCCTTTTAGATTCAACCTTGTATTCCCTTGGGGGATTAGTGAGTAGAGATCTTATCTTCCGCAAGTAGTTTATTGCATAAGAGGTACAGAATTAACGTAAATGTATAATCTCTACAGAAATCTGTGCTTACAAAACATTTCACCAAAGACAACGACGCAACAACACTTACTACTTACGCCATCTCAACTAGACGCGCAACGCTTCAACGACAATCCGCGGAAGAAAAATAGGGCACTCAGCGCATAGAGCAAGAGAAAGCACGCAAAGCATGAACATGCCGCCGCCCTTGAAAGCCTCATTTTTCAATGAATTGCAAATGTGTAATGCAGCAAAGAGTAAACAAAACCCAAACAAAAAAAAAAACTTTTGTAGAGAGAACTTAGTTTGTGATAATCTAGCGCATGTAGTAAGTAAATTAAGAAAATTATTATGATGGGAACTAGACTAAAAGATAAAGTTTATTATTAAATGATAGATTGAAACTTGCTTAAGACTAATAATGATCTGAGGTTTGACCTTCAATAGGTAGAAGACGCAATCGCGTAATAGGACGCTTGTAGCTCCCCCCAGTGATACGGATAGTAGCGAGCCACGCCATCTTTCCCAGGGTGTATTTCTTCGACTCATCTCAGGCGCCAAGATAAGGGTGGAGTATTGTCCTCAATCATAATAACGAGTTGTCCAGGGTTTATTGAAACCTCAGGTGTTTGCCACTTATTTCGTTGCTGCAGTAAATGCAGATACTCATGGCTCCAATGGCGCCAAATTGTTGTCTTTGGATATGTTGCCACCTAGACAGCCGGTTAATGGGAACATCTAAGAGAGATTCTTCGGGGTAGGCAGTTAAAGGTGTACTTATCAAGAAGTGTCCTGGGGTCAGGAACATGAGATCCCGGGGATCAGAGGACAACGGAGTGATGTGACGAGAGTTTAAGATCGCCTCGATTTGTATCAGGAGCGTTTCTAATTCCTCCCATTTTAGATGAGCATTTTTTGTTGCCTTGACCAAATAGCGTTTGGTAGCTTTCACAGCTGCTTCCCAGTCCTCCATGATGGGGAGCTTTTGGTGGAATGAAGTGCCACCTGATTCCTTTACTAGCGGTGTGTTCGATTAACTTCTTCTGTGTTTCCTGATTCTGGAGAAGATTACTCAATTCTCTCAAGTCACGTTCGGCTCCCACGAAGTTAAGGCCATTGTCGGAGAATATCTCAGATGGGCAACCCCTTCTGGCAATAAATCGTTTGAACGTGTTTAAGAAGGCCTCAGATGACAAGTCTACAGCTAACTCGATGTGTACTGCCTTCGTGGCTATACACACAAAGATTACTATGTAACATTTTATTAACTTAGCGTTTCTTTGGACTTCTTCCTTATGATATAGCGGACCTGCGTAATCAACTCCGCGCTTTTCAAATGCTCTGGTGGGCACCTGAACTCTAGCAGGTGGTAAATTACTCATGATAGTAGCAGCGGGTCTAGGGTTGCTTCGAAAACATGCTACGCAATCCCGAACTATCTGTCGCACTACGTCCCGCGCCGAAATCAACTAATATTTTTGACGTACCGCAGCAAGGATGGCCTGTTGACCTGAGTGGAAATGCCTCTCATGCTCATACCTTACAATTAATTTAGAAAATGGATGATGTCCCGGGAGCAACATAGGATATTTTGTTGCAAAGGATTGACTTGAAGCTTTGAGACGTCCTCCCACTCTTAAGATTCCAGCCTCATCTACGAATGGACTTAGTTTCAATATTCGACTATGAGCTTTACTAAAAGCAGAATTACTTGCGCTTGCTCTTCCTGAGTAACAAGTTCGATCGAATCTATGTTGTTTTTAGAAGATGTTTGCGGGCCTTTGACTGCACTTCTTGACAGTCTTGTGTTTCTTGCGAATCGGAGGATGTAAGCGACGACTCGAATGAGCTTAGTTAAACTAGAGTATCGTGAGAAAATATCAATCTCTTGGCAAGGTGTCGCAATTGCCACAACAGCCTTTGCTCTTCTTTCAGGAATCTCCTTGGGACAGGTGTTGAGTGAAATCTGTGGCCAGGTTTCAGCATCCTGCAACCAAGGGGGACCTGCCCACCAGATTTCCAATGGTATCAAAGCCTTGGGCATCACACCTCTAGACAGGGGGTCAGCTGGGTTGTCCTGGCTTCTCACATGTCGCCAACGTTGAACTGGCGTTAGCTGCAGAATTTCCCCTATTCGGTTAGCAACAAATGATGTCCATGAGCGGCTGCAAGACTGCAGTCAGGCTAATACTATACTAGAATCCGTCCACAGCCAAATTGCATTTATTTTGCATGGTAAACAGTTTAAAACTTTGTGCATTAATTGCTCTAATAGCAAGGCTGCGCATAACTCCAATCGAGGGAGAGATATACTTTTTAGGGGTGCTACCCTAGATTTAGAGCATAGCAGGTTTGCTGAGTGATTTCCATTGATGGATGTTGCCCGCAGATAAATGCAAGCTCCATACGCACATTCACTTGCGTCTGAAAAGCCGTGTAGCTCCAAACGCGAATGTTGAACAGTCGATGTGGCGAATCTTGGTATGCTTATATCCTTCAAGTCTTGTAACTCGAACTCATAACGCTTCCACTTAGAGTGGCAACTTAATGGAATGGACTCATCCCAATCAGATTTGAGTCTCTAGAGTTCCTGCATTATTATTTTAGCTACCACGGTTATGGGGCCCAGCAAGCCAAGGGGGTCAAAGATCAATGCGATCCGAGCTAAAATACTTCTTTTAGTGGGTTTTTCCAATGCGGAAAGATGGCTGATGTTAGAAAACTTAAACGAGTCTGATGAGCAGTCCCACGTAAGACCTAAAGCCCTCGTTTCTGAACTCTTATCTGTTGATAAGTTGAATTCTCGACTGAGGTGCTCCTGTTGATCATCCCGTAAAGAAGGCTCGTTGGAAGACCATTTCCTTAATTCAAACTTTCCCTCTCGCAATAGTAATATCAATTCTTTCTTCATCCGAGCTACTTCTTCAATGGTATCAGCGCCAGACAAGATCATCCACATAGAAATCTCGAAGTGCGATCTTGGATGCCAATGGGTACTGCATAGCATAGTCCTCGGCTACCTTTCTTAACGTTCTGATAGCTAGGAATGACGCGGATGAGGTACCATACGTGATGGTCTTTAACTCATAGGTCTTTACAGGTTGGTCGATTTCGTTTCTCCAAACATGCGCTGTAACGAGGTTTGATCTTTTTTTTTTTTTTTGGTAACGGAGGGG